GGCTGAGGAGCGCTATACTGCATCTGGGGGTACGGCTGTTGCTGTACGGGATACGGGGGCTGCTGTCCGGGGGATGGCTGTACCGGGTACGGCTGCTGTCCGGCGGCCGGCTGTACCGGGTACGGCTGCTGTCCGGGGGATGGCTGTACCGGGTACGGCTGCTGTCCGGGAGACGGCTGTCCCGGGTAGAGTTGCTGCTGCCCAGGGTACAGCTGTTGCTGTGCAGGCATCTGCTGTACCGGATAGGGCTTATGTCCAGGCTGCGGAGAAGGCTGTCCCGGGCCGGCTTTAGAAATCAGGACAAAGTTTAGATATCGGGCGTTGAAAACACTAAGGTGGCAAAAAGTTGGTTGGATTACTAGTATATATTTTTGAAAGTTCATCTTCCTAAAAAATCAATGATGTAGGGAAAGATTTCAGTGTCCGTAGATTTTCCATTGCTATAAGGTTATGGGAACATTCATTTTTCTCATTGAACTGAGCATCTCTATAGCTCTATCAGGCTTCAGAAAAGGCTGGAAAGAGTAGAAATTGGCCACATACACAGATAACATACCAGGGGAGTTGATTTGCTAAAGGAGCGGGCCAGCTCCCCTGGCATGTTATTCATCTCGTTGTGTCTAATTTCTACCCTTTCCAATCTCTTTTGAAGTCTGGTAGAGGCTATATCACCTCCTCGTCCTAGTGTCTATCAAACAGCCGTACAAGTCAAGTGTCCTTCACACGTACCTCCTCCCTGTACGATGATGACCTGCTGCCCGTCTGCCCTGTACACGGCCCCCTGGACGTGGTGAGAGACAGCAATGGTGAGAGACAGCAATATCTGCTTTGCGTATCAACTGCTTAAACACCATAAATTACTCTCCAAGCAAAGCTGATCGTCAACTCTCAGCCTCGCTGTACAGTGTTACAGCGTCCAATACCGACTGCCCTAGCACCCGCCCCACCGCCTGACAAAATGTACGGTTTTACCTTTACCTGAAATAATCACGTAACAGTCACTAACTCACCTGGGTGTCATCTCGGGGGGCACAACAGGTTCCACAGCAACTCATGATGGACACGGCCAGTGCAAAAGCGACTTCTAGCAGCCCGATAACGATCAACACGGCATGCACCGCGTACGCTGGTGTGCAGTCCATGTCTCTCCAGCTGCCAGGCTCCACGCTCCAGAGGCTATCATGGCTGTGAACGTTGGGCGTCTAATTAATTGGTTTACCTTCATGAAATAAAAATGTACAGGTTCGCGTGCGAGCCCCAGGAAACAACATAGTATAATACTATTATAAAAAATAACAGAAAAGCTAAAAGCACTCTTCACTGAAACAAGGCTGCAACCATGCTTACCTGTAATACCAAGCGTCCCACCACCGATCTGGGCCCATGCGAAAGTATTCACACTGAGGTCCGTCTATGAAGACGCCAATAACGGCCAGGATCCACACACATGTGGCGGCCATGGTGGCGAAAATACTCAGAACTAGAACGGCAACCATCTGTGGAGGAACAAACGGACGTCAATATCTGATGAACGTAGATTTGGAGCGTACCTGCTTCAGAGTTCAGCCAGCCCCTCCCATTAGATAATGATAACAATGCTGATTTGGGAAAGCATTGCTGTCAAGTGCTTTTTGATTCCAATCGGCCATTATAATTAGTTGGTTAACAAATTAATGACTGAGGGTAATAAATACAAAGGGATTTTCACACCGGAACTTACTCTGCCTTTTTTGTCAGGATTCTGTCCGCTACAGACGGCAAGACCACCAGTTACAATAACCTGTGGAAGGATACAGATTTAGATGTTAACATTAGTGTATGTCCGATCCAGGAAAACTATCGTACTTTTCCGTAGTTTAGAAATGAGAACGACTTCAATCAAAGGAGTCGAAGATGAAGGAAATAACTTACGAAAACGCAAAAAAAAAACTTTTTGGAAACGGTTAGACGTTTCAGAGACTGCATGAGAAATGGAGGTTTACAAGTACGAAGTTACTACGAACTATTGATTGATATGCAAATAAGTGAAGACAAATTTAAACTTACGAAAACGCCTGCCCAGATCGGTGCATTGATCAAGGTGATGGGGGCGAACCAGTACTGAGCGTACAGGACGTCCAGGACCACGGCCAGGACGGCACCCACGACGCCGAGCACGATCAGGCCCAGCCGAGACAGTGGACACATCCGCCGCGGAACCGGCAACAGTTCCCGGACTCCCCGCAGCACATGATCAGGTCCCGCTGTCAGCTAGCTCTGGTCTCTCTCAAGAATGCTAGATGGGAAGCAAAATGACAAAATCGGAAGGGGAAATTACATTAACCATGGTGACCATCGGCACAAGGTGGATTGTACAAAGGCATCCAAAATAGTTTTTAGGGCTTGGAAACCCGATTTTTCAAAGCCAATATTCTAGTCACTTATCTACACACCGAGTAGAATCAACACTATTTCAATGTCTGTTGACAAAATACCCAAAGTTCTGACGGAAAATGGTTACTGGAATTTAGTGGAAAGCCCCTTGATTTTTAGGGTACCACCTATAAAATAAAGGACTAATCTTGGGGCTTGTTTTTGCAGTTTTAAATGCCCAAAGTATGAAATGCTGACTCAAATGTGGTAATGTGAAGCAGTGCGTCAATATCATAAAGATTGCCTTATTCAGAATATTTCCAGTTTTGCTGCTCTGAAATCACTTTGTGTGCTTTTCAATGTACCCGCTCTTCTATTATACGATACCCAATTACAGTGATGACTTCACCTCAGATACTAAACGTAAAATTATGACACAACAGGTAATCTCCAAGCAGATTCTCTGGGCCTGTAACCATTGGCCGTCTGTAACAATTGGCCGCCGTGTTGGATACTGCCTGGCCAATTTGATACTAGTACTGTCTTCCCGATTTGATACTGTATTGCAGCCACCCAAAGAGCTGCTTACTTTATTGGGCGACTCAAAAGCGATTCCATTTATACATTTGGGTGGTCGACATAACATTTGCGTTTGTAACATGTCTACCATAGTGCGAAATGTGTGGCGTCTTTTGCAAAATCATAAGGTTATAGGTCATTGGTTTCCGAAACATCACGTTCGCGCCATGCTTCCTCTCTCCATTCCTTTGGAATTTCAGAATGAATTTACCCTGATCGATAAATTCGACTATCTGGGTCACATCAGCCCATATGTTTTAGCCTGGATGCCAGACTGTTTCCAGGGCTTACACATGCGCCAGCTCCTCGGATTCCAGGCCGACCAACATGCCTCCAATGAAATTTTTAAAGCCATATGTATAATTTTTTGAGGGCATGTTTGGTCCTACTACTACTAGCCGGACATCGCAGGGAGTGATTTGGAAAAATCAATAGATGAAGGAACAAATGGCACCATGTACGTTTTTTTAGGTCACGGACTGACGGAGGAGAGTAAATAATATTACGGTAGCAATTCAATTTGCATTTGACGCCAGGTCAGCCTAAGAATAATCTCCAAGCAGATGCAGTCTTTCTAGTCCACGTTTAACTATTTATCTCCTCCCGCTCCCCTTATTATGTAAAAAAATGCCCCAAACACGCGTAAAACACTGAACCATACATCTGCTTGAGCTCTAGGATTATTTGCCCTGCAGGCCTGGTGCCCTGATGTCGAGGACGCCCATGTGGTTTGCCCCTGAGGAGGCAACCAACCACACGCCTCCATTTTGTCCGGGGTCGCATATCCTTTCTCTACCACCGTATTTTACACTAACATGAACTGATACCATTATGTTGGTACATGACATGGCAATATGACGGCATCTCCAACTGATTCAACAGTGACACAACAAACACAAATATACACATGCACGGCTACTATTAAAAAAAATACAGCATTGCCGTTGGGTCAGACTTTTCAAGCAGATGTAACGTTACGGTTGGCTATGGATGTTTGACGTGTGGATTGAGGCAGGCGTCCTATACATTTTTTTAGTGTCCCGCGTTGAAATATGCCTAAAATATGCGTATAACACTGACATGAACCCTACATCTGCTTGTAGCTTACTCAATATAGCTGCATAGCTGTAAATGTCCTTGGCAGGCCTGCATTAGCTTTCTAATTCTATAGGCGTGGCATGTCCTGAAATTATACACTGACCAAGGAGCTGACCATACAGTATACAATAGCGTAAAATGAGCAAGGCATTTTCTTGCTGCCAACTCAGCAACCACAAGAAAAACACAAGGAAATTTAATTCTTTTTAGCATCAGTAGTTAAAGAATCCCTACCTAAGTCGAGATGTTCCCTGTCTCCGATCAGAGATTTCGTTTTGAGTCGTTGTAAACAACAGACGCGCGTCAGATTGGACACGGGGACGGATCGTTATGTATCAGCATTGGTTGCATAACGTTACATGTAGCGTACATGTGTTTGTAAGGCGAGAAACAGCATTAACAGCTAGTGGCCAATACAGCAATGAAAACGGACATTTGACTTTATATGACCATAAGCTGTAAATAGTTAACAGTTAATGGTAGTTCTCCATTTCAACATTTACTTTCTTTTTAGAACATTGTGTATCAGTACTGTTAGTGTTGTAGGCTAGAAATACTAGTAGCTGAAGCCAGTGGCCTTTAATCACTCCAACTTCTAGGTCTGCCCTCGTCAGTCCAGACATCCCATCACGATCTATCGTGGGTGATCCCTGAGAGATAATTAATACCATCTGCAACCTCCCTACACATAAAAGTGCAAACAGTGCTGCAAATGGTTATATTAACGTTATAAATGAAAACACTAGTAAACAGATTGTCAAACATGAAGGATATTTAAAGCCAAGGAGGTCTGTTGAAACCCCCTTGTTCAAAGCTGAGAACTGAGAAGGTTTGGGTAACATGCTGATGCCGAATCGGCAAATTTCAAATAGGGAGCTAGTGTCTAGTCTTTTCTTTGAACAGGATCACTCTGTGTGCAACACGGGCAGTGATTGGTTTAGCTTTCCAGTGGCTTTGTATAGAAGAATTTCATTGGATGAGCTATTGAGCTCGACCTTTGACATTCAAAATGGCGGAAAAGTTTGAGAATTGCGCATAGTTTTGATGTTTGTTTGAATATCTCGCTCCGTTGTGGTACCTTCTTGGCCTCTTTCACTTTCTAGGTGAGCTGATAACATTGACAACCAAACGAAGATTCTATATGTGTAGGTTTAATTTTACTAGTGGTACTATTCGAGTATCATAATGAAATCAAAATGCAGCAGGCGCTTGTAACATATCTGAAATTTTTACGATACTAGTAAGTTATAACTTACGTTAGTAGTTATGTAATTATACGCGTAATAGAAAATAAAACAAGCAACTTCATTTTCCTCACTAACTGTTTCACGTCACCTATCAAATTCAGGAACATTGTACTCATTTATACATACGTCAGTTGTCACTGAGGACCCAGTTACTGAAAGTTGAAAATAGCTGTCTGAAACGTCTGACTCTTCAGAGAATTTGTTTTACGTAAATATGTTCTACCCGGATGTCTAACTTGATAAATGTACAACAGGAAAGATAGACAGCTGACATCAAATCTTACACGTTCCATCCCTTGCTCTGCTTGTAGGGTTTTGCCAGTCTCATGTTCAAGATATTCCCAACACTTGCTTGCTGACTGAAACCAGTACTATGGAGACCAAAGTTTTAGACGGCGGTCTGGCAACAGAGCTGGACTTTGCTGGCTTTAACATCAATGTGAGTGTCAAAAGATGTTTCCCAGATTTCCTGTAAAATAGCTGACATAACATTATGAGCATATGTAATTTGCATATATGCCTTCAAATAATTTGCATTTACTAGCGTATGATGTAAACAAAAACACTGATCATCTGAATAGCAACATTGTCCAATTTTCTAAGCATATTAATTTACAATAAACTTGATATTGATTTGAAATTTGTTTCTACTTTAGGATGACCCTCTGTGGAGTGCCAGGCTGCTGGCCACAAACCCTGCTGCTATCAAACAAGTCCACAAAAGGTTGTTTCATCATTAGCATATCAAGATTGCTGTGCCATCTACATTTACTTTTTGATTTAGTGTGTTGACTGTCTTTCAGAATCGTGTCTTGATAGTCTTTGTCCTTTAGTTTTGCTTATTATTCTATGTCTGTTTATCTCTCTTGAGATTGTAACGTTAATTGTGATTTTTTCAGTTTTCTGACAGCTGGGTCAGATGTCATCATCACTGCTACCTACCAGGTAAAATAAAAGCAAGAAACAAAAAAAAAATCATTCTTAAAATAACCTGTAAAACTGCAGCCCATGGTGTATAATACTGCTAATAGCCATGTTTTCTTGTTCATCTTAAAAGATATTGAATAAAGTGTCTTTCTTTTACGTGTACATTTTTTGTTTAGGTTGTAACATATTTTGTACATGTATCTTATTGTGTTACTAGTATGTTATAATGTTTTGTGTTGATCTGTGTTACAAAAAATACTTGTCTGTTGTGTCCCTGCCTGTAGGCCAGTATTCCTGGGTTCCAGGAGTACCTAGGAGTATCAGTGGAGGAAGCACACAAACTCATGGACCACGGAGTCAGGATAGCCAAGCAGGCATGTCTGGAGTTCTCCAAGGAACGGGAGAAAGGAGACTCTCCAGGTAGGAGAACAAAAAATGGCCTCTACTTCCTAGATTCTGTGACTTGCCATATCTTCCAAGTCTAAGTTAGACCTTGGTATGTGCCTGATCTGGCACACTAAATTGCCCCCAAAAGTGCAAAACTTTCCATAGGAATTCTATACACTGTGTGGGCAAGGGAACTTCCACACTTTGTGGAAGTTCCCTTGTGGAAGTTTCCCTTCCCCAATGTTTTTCTCTTCAACCTCCTTGGTTAGAACATAACATTTCACTGTTAAGTAAAAGAAACAAGTACACTTCTCATCTCATCTGTATCTGTAGGTAGAAGAACTCCCTTGGCTGCAGGATCAGTAGGGCCGTATGGAGCCTGTCTTCACGATGCATCAGAGTATACAGGAGAATATGTGGACACTATGTCAATAGAGGTTTGTATAGAACCGTTTTAAATGTGGAAACACAGTGAAAATATTATTTCCCCTTTCACCACAGTCCCATCGAATATAAATGAATTTACAGTACATGTGCAACAGTTGTTTGTTGTTTAGGTTTGCATAACTGGCAAACCACCAGGTATAACACACCAGCTTTGTACAGTAACTTACAAGCTGTATAAGACAGGGCCGTAAGGATTGAAACATTCACACTGGGAAGGACCCCTACTCTTTTCTATGAGTGTTCTTCTCAGACACGGGACCTCCAGCTTTATGTCCGAATGCAAGAACTGAAGCATGGTACTGATTTTTACCAGAGCTGAGTGAGGAAATAGATGTTAAGTACCTTTCCCAAGAACACAGCACTAGGGCCTTCCAGGGATTCGAACCCAGAACTTTGACTTAACAACCCTAACCACAAGACCACCTTGCCACCCATCTTGTTTGATCACAGGAACTACAGAGGTGGCACAGACCGAGACTAGGACAGCTCATCACCAGCGGGGCAGACATGGTTGCCATAGAAACTATCCCCGCCCTTAAAGAGGCCGCTGCTCTGGTCCAGCTACTCAGGGAGTTCCCCAACACTCGAGCATGGGTCACGTTTTCCTGCAAGGTACACTAACCCGACAACAAGTTCATGTACCTTCTTGTTGAAACTGTAACTACATGTATGATGCATTTGGCATATTCCCAGAATGATATGTCTCCATATGTTGGTGCCATATGTTTGCACTGATAGGAATACAATTTATATGTTTCCCAATGTACTTTTGTTGTTCTTTACATGTCTATGATGGCTAGTCATCCGTGCAACAGCTCACTCTGTGAATACAGCCGTCATGCACCCTGAATAAGGCCCTCTCCCAAAAAGAAACTGCAGCTCTAGCCACTCGTAGAAAGGTTGACATTTGCTCGGGAGAAAACACAGGATACTGCTAGTATTTCAGTCCATTTCCCTCCCCATTCCAAAATGGGCTGCTCCACATAAACCTTTTCCATCCAGTATCAAGTCCTGGTATTTCTTAATTATTAGTATTAGTGTCTTTTTCTTTCAAATGCCAGTAGGTGGACTGATTATGACTGAAAGTTGAATATTTGTTGTCTATTTTGCCTTTCATCTGAATGAAGGATGGGTTACACACCTGCCATGGTGAGAGTTTCCCGGAGGCTGTAGCAGCTGTCCTGAAGTCGCCGCAGGTGTTTGCAGCTGGTGCCAACTGCTGCATGCCCGAGCATGTGGCTCCCCTGCTGCAGAAGGCCAGGGAGCTGTGCAGGGATCCCGCCAAATTCTTCATCGCGTATCCCAACAGTGGGGAAAAGTGGGCAGCAGGAACAGGGTTCGTCTTTCTTCTTTTCAAAATAATGTTTATTGCACATTACTGTACATATCATCAAAACACATTTACACAATTATGCATCATTCCCACTGACAATTTTTGGCTAAGGTTAGTTCTCTGTGACTTTTTTGATAGTGTATCTTCCCCCTCGTATTTTTTGTGCAAGGTTCACTCCCAAGGTGGTCTTTTCTTTTTTTACGATCATCTTTCTTGCTTTTGTTATTTTTTGACGAGCTCCAGAAAGATTTAGGATTATACTGTGTACTTGAGCCCTGTGTCAGCTCTCAGCTATAAAATGTAACTCCTTCTATTCTTCCAGCTGGTATGGGAAGGCTGACTGTTGTCCCCTGAGTACTTACGTTCCTGAGTGGTTAGATCTGGGGGCAAGGTGGATAGGTAAGGCTTAAGTTTTCCTGCCTAAAGTTTCTAGTTGTCAGCTATCTCGTACTCATAGAGAACCATAAATTACTGATGCACCTTTATACATTTCTTAATGTCTTGTTTATGTGTTCTACTTGTGTGAATGAACATACCAACCTCACTAAAGGTAAGGTATTTACACAAACTTGTCTTTGCAGGAGGGTGCTGTAGGACCAGACCTGATGACATCAAGGACATCAGAACCTCCATAGAGCAATGGAAGAAGACCACTGGATAGTGTAGAATATACTATATATCATGTTTTGTGTGTGTGAAGAAATCCTGTGTGTTATTTGGAGCACATTTTTTAATGCTTACTGGAGCAGATGTTTTTATGGTGCACTTTAATCATGGCTGGGATGAATTATTCAAAGATCTTAATAATCTTTTACAAATAAATTTTATGATTGACTTGACTTAGCCTGTGTATACAAGCTCTCGGCTGGAGGTTAATGACCCCCACCCCAAGAGGTGGGGGGCGGCAACCTAGGGCGGCGGCCGCCAGGAGTGCGATTAGTCAGGCTAGACTTGACTGATATCATTGGTGTTTTGTCAAAGTTTACTGTGTTAAACTCAACAGTAGTTACCATGTCTTAACATAATAGTACGGAATTGTTTGGATAGTGAGCTTTCAAAGGGAAGGCTACAAAAGGCAAAATGAATACCCCCCTCCCACCCATGAAATTGTGAAATATTAATGGAGGAAGGGGGCAAATTACGGTGGAATCCATATCAAAACTGACACCTTGGTCAATCCTTCTTTCATGGAATGAGCCATTATAGAAAACAGGTCAACTTGTAAAAGTCTAAAATGGAAGAGCTCTTGTAGGATTTTTAACGGCCAAATCCTGAGTTATTACAGTAAAGGTCACATTTCCCAACAGCGGCTTGGAGGTCACCATCAAAACTAGAACAGGTCAAAGGTCAGGTCATCTGATACTGGCGCGCAGCGAGGGCGTATTTCCCAATAATCCCCCCACTCCGTCACCGGTAAACCGCCTGACATCTCCATGGTAACCATGGAAGATTCCGTGATGCGATGTCAAAAAGGTTCCGGATTGTTGGAATGATGTGGGAGTAAAGGTCGCGAGTGTCGGGACACCGGTTCAATGTAATTTGAAACGTTTCATTCCAGCGGCAGAAGCCAAGTACACCATTGACTTTATAGCAGAAAATCTATCATTATGGTTTCGGCACTTAAAAATGAGTTCAGAGTGAAGATTGTATGTCAGGACAGAAGTTGAGATTGATTATAACCATTTCACTGGGAAGGGTGCAGTAGAGGTGCGGTGCTGATCTTGAGGTTGGGACATGAATCTCGGAAACAAGCCAAGTGGACCCAAGTCTTGTTCACAGCTGACAGGTCATTACACGGCATTGTCATCTTCACCGCATGTCAGCTACTGCTGAGGTGGGCCACCATTGCCTTCCAGTTACTTCAGACTAATCTATCTTGTGCTGCTCATTGTGCCCCCTCCCATCGCAACCCATTACTGCAAGGTCTCTTTCCACTGTTTTTCTCCACGTCATTACTTGTCCACCCCTCTTTCTCCTTCCTTGTGGACACCAAGTTAGCACCACTTTTGGCATTCTGGAAATGTGGCCTAGCCACCTCAGCTCAGTCGTGATCTTTGTACTAGCTTACAAAGCTTTGGTTGTGCACACGCACACACGTCCACAAAATGGGCTTACATTTACACAATTTGTAGCAGTCATAGTGACCTGTGCTTGTGTTTCCCTCTCCAAGATATGTCTGTACATGTACAGTGTGGTACTACTAAAGTACCTTATTTTTACTGTAAAAGTATAATCTGGTTCAGTCAAAGACCTAATCCTCTTGACTTGGACCTGGACTTGGACCAGATCAAGCTGAACCAGCATGTTGACTCCAGGGAATGCTGCTGTATATAGATAATAAAACAGTTCTTTCCAAGAAATGGATGCGATACTGCGTGAGTCCGTCAGGTCCATTTATTAGATCCATTGGGCATTGAATACGGAATAACCACTACATGGCAAACTGAGCTACCCAGCCTACAGCTACACATGTCAACTGCCAAATGTCGGGTGCCCCCCTCCCCACAGCAACTGTTCCAGCATCATTTCCAGCTCTGTAGATCTGTGTGGTCGGTAAACATTGCGGCTGCTGCTAAGGTTGTGGCTTAAAGTTTGCTTTACAACATTGGCATTGTTGAACAAACTGAGAAGTCGACATAAGCATTAGCTACATATTTGGTCTCTGGTACAGTTGCCATGCATCCACAATGTTGGGTCACACAGCAGCACTTTTGATTGACATTGCCTGTGAATTTCTGTGTGTTTGTTCATTGGAGGAAGGCGGGAAGCAGTTTATGAATGATATTACGTATCATTATCCATATCAATTTTTCCCCTCACCCCTTCCAACCATTGTTTCCGGTACAGCCCTTTTCCTGCTTTGTCCAAAATCCTACACAGTCCATTTTTGAGTCACCTACATTGTAACAGAAGTTCAGGATATTTGGTTCGCCACCATTCCTTTTTAGTCCTGCAACTCCAGTGTGATCTGCTAGGAGGCTCTCTTCCACCAAATTGTAAAGGAAAGTTACTTTTTAACAAGTCAAATGAATCCATTGGAACCAGCAAGTTGGAACTTCAGTTTTACATGACCTGTTGAGCTTGAGCCCAACAGGTATGAAAAATGGGGTGTGGCTCTAATGACCAATCAGCATTGAGCAATGGCCTTAGTGTAAAAATTGATGCATTTATAGTGTGATGACTTGACCACCATATTTCTTTTCATCTCAAATATGATCCTTTTTGAAGGAAATACACATAATTTCCAGACCAGAACTCACAGATGAAACAGAGCTGGAGATGAACAGTCTCGCTGGGGAGGGGGAAAAAGAAAATTCCACTTCGTGCTCACATCAACATAAAAGTCACTCCTTGTACCATTCATTTTACAGCGTCACATTGCAGCACATTTTCATCGCTAAAGCTCATTGGTTAGAACTGGCCAGCAACTGTTTCCAGACCCCCCAGCCATCATCAACAGCTGTTATATACACCAGGGAAAATTGCAACTGTTTCAAGGGACCCAAACCGTCTTAACTTGAGATTTCAACATGCCAATGTTGGTGGCATCCCTCACATAGTTTAATAATTCTACATACCATACAATTGTAGAGTTTCTTACCACATGCCTAGTCTATCACTGACATCAAATGTCGGACAACTCAAGTGTCCTCGGCTCACATTTGAGACTTTCATAGTAAACAAAAACAATCGGCGAGACTTTTGGTGGCTGGAAACAGATGCCATTGTCCAATCTTTATTCTCCACGCTCCCCCATACACAGCCTCTCCCCATACACACCCCCTACCAACTGTTTGTTCTTCAATTCTGTACAATACACACATGACTATACAGCTTAGAATTTTTTGAGTCAACACATTGTTGTTTCATGAATTACTGTGGTCAGCTTATGTGTGGGACCTTACCTGTGGAAAAACAAGGAGGGGGCTGGTATGAATTTTCACACAGATCAGCTCTCAGCCATGGAACACATTTAGAGAGTGACATCTCTCACACTTTTGGAATATTGGAAGCTAAGCAATAGTTTAAACTGTGGATGTTGCACGGCTGTAAGTGCCAACAAAAATACGTGAAAAAAAATTACATTTTATAACCATTGTTGCAATGTGAAAGGATTGAAAATGACAATTTGTCATGTTACTGTAGCCTTGAATGGCTTTTTTTGTAACTGAAAATTAAATTTTGAAGGCTTTAAATGAACAGAATATGTACTTCTGACCCACCAAAACATTCCTTGTTTTTGAAAAGATTTGAATTCAATAGTGTTGGCTTTGAAGGCATGGAATGACTTGCCAACAATTGCCATATAGAGAGCTTACTTTTTGACAGATACAGTCAGAAGTTGTTAAGAACGAAAGGCCGAGTGTTGCCATGGCCTGGCTGAGTGCCCCTCCCTGTCTTCCCACTGCACAGGTCCCACAGTTATTTCTCCAGACAAGTGCACCATATTGTTGTCATTTAAACACTGCAGCGAAACAAAGAAGTTCTGTCGTGTCCTAGCCCAATTCTCACCGACTGGCTAGCTGGATCTGGAACGCTACGACGGCAGCACGTACTATGGTTGGATTCGCCACGCCCACGGGTCCCCACGCCGCTCCGGTACACAAGTCTTCGCCACGTCCATGCCACCAGATTACATCACCATAGATACACAAGTCACTAGAGAGAGAATTGGATACCTACAATTCAACTACATTATTTCTGTACAAAAAGGTGCCGTGGGCCCCATTGGACAGGGCCCACTGGAATTATGGAATTCAGACCCTAGCTTCCAACCATTTTGTTTTCCACACAGGCTTGAATATATTATACACAACTGCCATAATTTCACTTGCTCCCTCTTAAGCTTTCTGGACACTTTTGTTCTAAAACTAGAGCCTTGCTTTGCTGCCAGAAAAAGGTGATATACATAGCTTCACATTAATTATCCTCAAGGGCATTAGTGTGTGAATTTGGATAGCATTTCTGACCCCTCCAATGCAGTGGTTGCATCCTGAGAACAGCTGTGGTGAAATGAGCTTTCCAAACACCTGGCCTGTTCCATTGTCGATCCGAAGGGTGTTTTCACGCTGACATCCAAACAAGCGCAATTGTAGGTACGATCTTTTACACTAGCTGATGTAATAATTTGGAAGATTCCACTTTCAATTCAGGGGGAGCAGGCAGCTGCACTGGAGGGGTATTCCATTTTAACAACAACAACATCAAGAACAAAAAAGGCTGAGCAAAAATTTCCATCACTGCAAGAACCGTGATTAGGACCCCCTTAACCTTCTATCAACATAAATTATCCTCAAAAACGCTACCCACTGTGAATTCTTCTTCTATTCAAAAAACCTTTGGTCTACTACTCTGCTACAGGGTGGAACATAATACAAAATGCAAGTTAGGAAGTACCATGTTTGAAATATTATTAGTTAACATAAATGGCTTTGCATAGTACTGTGTACTGAAGTATCCACATAAACATACTCCCCACTATAGAAGTGTACCGTAACCACTCATTGAACAGCCCTGTTATACACAAGACTTCACACCTTTTGGAGTGCATTATTATTATTATTATCAGAACTTTACAAAAGTTTTCAAGAAAAGAACAAGAAAGGACTGCATATCAGAATAAAAACAACCTTGTCTTAAGTACATGATTAAATAACCCAACTTGAAAAATAGCCTAATTATGCCTAATCAAGCAATGCTGAAGGGATAGGGAGGGGCCTTGGAACTAAGCACAAGAAAATAACCCAAGTATATCAATATCTATGACTAAAATGCTATGAAAATTATGACTTTGCTGTTTATATATAAAACTCTCTACCAAAACATGGAATTCTTAATTTCATATTGAATCTCAGCACTTCAAAATACACTGAGCCCACAAGAGCAGACATATTTGCATTCTGAATTGTGATTGGACATCATTTGTCTAAATTGACCATTTAGGATTGATTGTTGGATTGAATTGACCAATAGGAGAAGCTGTTGCTCAGCAAGCGCATCCTCCTTCCTGCGACTGGGGCTCCTGCGGTGTGTCCTTTAGCTTCACTTCGATCACTGAGGGGGAAAAGTTAAGGAAAACTTCCTGGAACACAGCAACATGTTTTACATATACGCAAATAACTATACATTAGATACATAAGAATATACATCATGTGAACCAGCCTTACACATGTACAAATAGCCAAACATTATGTACATAAAAATATACATGTGAATCAATAGAGAACATCATCAAAACCAAGGAAAACAGTCAGACATTTGCATTAGGTTTCAGGGACAGTGAGATTTCAGTTAGGGTGGGTGTGTTTCTGGCCCAGGTATATAAGTGTTAGGGTGGGTGTGTTTCAGCACCAAGGACAGGGGCAATAGCATTAGGGTGGGTGTGTTTCAGCACCAAGGAGAGGGATATCAGTGTTAGTGTGGGTGTTTCAGGGACAGGTAAACAATAGTAAGGGTGGGTGTGTTTCAGTACCAAGGACAGGGGCATCTGCATTAAGTTGGATGTGTTTCAGCACCAAGGACAGGGATATCAGTTATTGTGGGTGTGTTTAGGCACCAGGGACAGGGACAACTGTGTTTCGGTGGGTGTGTTACAGGGACAGAGATAAAAGGATTTGTACGGATGTGCATCAGCAACAAGGACAGGGGCATCAGTGTTAGTATGTGTTTATTTATGGGACATGGGCACCATGGTGGGTGTGTTTCAGCACCAAGGACAGGGACAACAGTCTTTTTGTGGGCATTTTTCAGTCACATCAAATTTACTACATTCATACCAATCAGTATTACTGCAAACATACCAGTCATGAATGCAACAACCTTAAGAAGTTATTATGAAAAATTGCATACACTTGGCAACAACTCACCATACAAAACCATCCTGATGTTATCCTTAAATCATTGTCCTTTTCCATTAGGGTCATGATCATGATGTGAGAGGTTATGCACTATCTTTTCAATGATGCCATTGATATACAACTTATTATTGTTACAAACTATCAGTTCACTGCCAATCAGGCATCTATTAGATAGATGCACCTCTGATTCCCCAGTCTAATCAACCAAGATGTCTGATGTCTGTGACAGTGAAATGAAGGGATCACATGTCTCTACATAAAGCAACATCAATGTCACTTTCTGTTTCTTGTTCTTCATTTAGAAAAAAAGAAATGGCCAAGGCTTGGCACAGAAACGTAGCTTTGCAATATCAGGGTGATCAAACATTTTCTGTATCTGTATCTGAATAGCCGGTATAACCGCCTTTTGGCGTAACACACCAGCTTGGACACACCTTATGTGTCTTTCTTCACCTTGTGTATGGAGGTTTTGTTTTTGGCATGTCTGCTTGTGTGTTTGCTTGTATTGCTCAATGGATTGAAAGTTATCACTCTTATAGAAGCATTTTCTTGATGTTTTCATATTACTTTCAATAATCTTCTTGATAGTCTTATAGTAATAAAATCACCCATGCTTGTGCCAGTTTGCTCTTGCGAGAGCAGGTTAAAAATTGCGGTGGAATTTGGAAAGGGGTCTACTTGTAGAATTTTGGTGCAGAGGAATTATTCTCCAGGACAAACTTTGTATAAACGTTTCCATTTATTTAATTCCTAAACAATCATTCATGCATTTAGCATTTAAGAAGCCTTGCAGTTTAGATTTCACAGCCGTGGACAGAGTAACTACGTTACTCTGGCCCTCCTCACGTCCCAGACATCTTCCCTGTCTCAATCTGGTCCCTCGACTGCCCGTATCACCGGCATTGTTCTTCCCCCAGCCAGACAAATATTACTCTCAATTGGCTGATTGAATTTTGCTCACAGAAAGAAAGTAATCTGAATTGATATCTGAGTGTGCCATGGGACTCTTTGACTTCTTTTCTCAAAACATGCACACACTCCGCTAGGCATCCAACATGATTCTAAGGCCGGTCACGGAAAGACAAAACAAGCCAGGATATTTTCTTGCACCAGTTGAATTCATGCACATGATTTCCATTCAGTTTCTTTCTTTTCTTTCGTGCATGTTTATGAATTAATTGGATGCATGAAATATATTTCTCTTTTATATGTCCTTCTGTCTTTCATGTTTTGTTGCCCTATTGTTTATTAAAATGCAATGAAAATTTAAAAAAGCCAGAATATTCACTCAGATAAAATGCAATGGACTGAGTATCAAAAGTGCTTCTTCTAACTTTGCCAAGTATGATTTTGTTTTCTATTGGACTTCAATATCTTTCCTGTGTAAATGTTGGCACTAGTTCACCGGTTCATAACATCAGACAGCAAACTTCTCCCAAACTCACTGCAAAAGAATGAACTTTTCCCTCCTCCTCCTGCTCCTTTGAAGGTTACTCTATGGGAACTTTTCCAAAGGCCAAATACGTACCTCGACGCACACAATTAGAACTTTATTACTGTTCGGGGAACGTGGTGATAGGCCACCAATCAAGGGGTCGCGCAGGTGCCCCTTCCCGAAAATTACACACCGTCATAAAAACTGCAGCGATGGCTCATCCTTCATGCCGCACCTGCAGGATCCATTCCATTTCACAGAAACAATGTCAGGAGCCAAACCAAGCACAGCGCCTGTCCGGCCAAATTGATTGGCAAAGATGAAGCCTCTTGATGTCGGAGAAAACTAATTTTCCGGTCACTGTAGCACATTAAAAGGCAGAGCAGCTCTCCGGCTCCCTGTAATAAAGACATTCGGGAGGAGGATGATGGGAGGAAAGCGAGCGGAATGTTGTACACACCTGCCGCCGCTAAATTTAGCGGGAACGAATCGCTGACCCCCGCGTGTCCCAGCCTTCATCTTCCGCCGTGACAAATTATCCGTGACATCGAGCCCCGCCCTCCTACGGCAATCTCCGCCAACGAGCATAATTACTTACACGTCACGGGGCTGCCGAATGAAAACGTAATGACGGGGTAATCGGCAACACAGAGCAACAATTTGGGAGATCACTGGTCAAGTGGTCAAGAAGCAAACCTGTACAGATTAAACCATGACCTCTGCTTCCCCTTCTATTACATGTACATGGCATGGACATCCACCGCTCCTGACAAAAGTCCTGGTTTCTAGAAGCAAACTTTTATATTGAGAAATAACTAGACATGTTCCCAAGCAGCCTTCTTAACCCCTGCTCCTATTGGGCCAGTTAGTTCTCATTCTTGGTGAGTCCAGCTTGTCTCAAGCATTTGATATTGTACGTTTCTGCCTAACGGAGAAGAGAGGCTATTCCAGTCCTATTCAGTCCGAATGACATGAAACATGTAAGCTTGTATTTGGGTTTTGTTACATGGTGACAACTGATTAAGAAAAATTGAAGTAAAAAATTAGGCAGCTTTAGGATTGTGTTCTGATCGCAAAAGCGCCACCTACATTGGCTGCATGTAGCGGCGAGAAGCAGTAATCCAGTCAGAAGCTCTGAGGAAGGTGTCTGATAGACATCGAAATGTAAACAAGTGAGAGGAAAGGTTCCAACATCCTAAGCACAGAAAAAACAACATAAATATCTAACGTGATTGCTGAGCTGAAGTGTAATCGTTCTTGTGGTAGTACATTGACTGTAGAAAGTTGCTTGCAGCCCTGCCCTGGAGCACAGCACTCGACATGACAGTGTTCCCAGAGATGATGGATGAACCGGGGAATTTAATCTGCACAATTCATTCCGATTGGCAGGAAATAAGGATGATTATTGCCCAGGGTGCGCGAACCCCAGCACCAATTTGCACACCGAGGGGGAAGTGTCCCACTTACAGTCACACAGATGTCTGACCTTCTCTACATGGACTTGTACCGCAAGCTACAAAACTGTGGTCTGCTTTAAGAAATGAGGGTATCAAAAATATATAGTATGTATACATACTGTTATGAGCAATTTTGTGGCTATTCATTGTCACATAGTACATTTGTATTACACATTATGAAGCTGCTAGCTGTGACTAGTGGATATCTTTATGGAAGTCTACTGCAAGCTACAAAACTGTGGAGTCTGTTTAAGACATGGGTGTACCAAAGACTTACATGTATTATGTCTTTCTGCTACATCATGGCTATTCATACTGTTATGTACATTATCAGGCTGCTAGTGGATATAGTATATACTGACTGACCTGATGTATATTTTTACATGTACATGTGTATGTACAAAGAAATAATGGAAACAGTTTCTTAACATTTTTTTAGTCTGATCCATATTTCCTAAATTCTGAGTGGCGCAGGTAAAATTTGTCTGCGTAATTTTCAATGTTACCTGCACCAGTACAGGTATGCAGAAAAAAGTACTTCATTTCATAGCCATTTCTAGATGTTACATGTTCTATCTGAGGCTATGGTATTGGTATGGACATATCTGATCTGTATGTAAGAAACACCCCTGGTACAAGCTAAGTATATATATTATGCTTTTACTCTGCTTTTAACCGAGTTTATCTGAAGACTTTAGTTACTCCATGTCTGTTGTTAGTCCTTGTTATACGTGTTATCAAGATATTGTCATTAGTATGGATCCAGTATACACTGATACAATATCCATGTTGGATCTATGATCTCCCCATTAGGGGTTTATCATCACATCAAAGCAAGGATTACCTGTGGATCTATGACCTACGCAACAACTTAAGCCCAGGTCTATATACCATGGTTATATGAGTTTCTGAGAAACTCCAAGTGCTGCATTTCCACATTATATTTTTTAAAACTTTAGATCTGCACTATATGCCTTCTCTCTCCCTCCCACACTCAGTCACTCCACTACCTTGCTTTACCCTGATATTCTGAAGAATCGTGAAAAAAAAAAAAAGAGATTTAATTTGTGCATACTCTTGACTGCCAGGAAACTTTTCTTGCTTTGCCAAGTTACCTTTTGTTTCTAACCCTTGGCAAACGACATTGTTATGCCTCCATTCAGCCATTATAGATAATATTGCAACGCATCCAGTAACCTAATTGAAGCTTCCAGGCCCGAGCTGTCCATAAAATTGGTCACCGAAAATCTATGGATGTCAACCCATCCGTCTGAAACCCGATCATCGTTTCATAATGCTGTGTTCAGGGAATATGGCTTCATGGTATCACATCAATTGATAGGCGTTTCCATGCATCGGGAGCACGGTCGGATGACATTCAAAACGTGCCAAGAATGACTCCTTCTTCCCAAGTTGCGCAAGACTTATTTAAGGCCCCAGCGAGGGGTAAGGGCTGAGAAGACTTGGGGGTAAAAACTTCTGACAGCTTCATTTTCCTCACAACTGTTGATGTGCAGGTTCTGTCATTACCTGTGACAGTGGAATATTAGTGTCTCCAGAGAACTGGGTTGGAACTTGTATCTAAACCGTAGGGAGTGTACCCGTATTTTCCCGAAGGCAAAAACAAATATGGTCATAACTTTAGCTGCATGCACTTCTGCTACTGTACTGTTCAAATAGGTTTAAAATTAGTAGTAACCATTCATTGTAATAACAACTTTTTTGTGTCAAACAATAATGGAGTTGACATCATGATTTCAACTTTTCTTTCGTCATGATTGTTGGAACTCTTTGCACTTTCTACGCCGATCTGATAACTATAAAATAATTATGTGCCTTTAAATCACTTTTCTCATTCTCCTTAAGATAGAGGGTCAAGATGTTCAATTTGTGCAAACAGTATAGTTTGTAAATATCTAAGAAGTCAGTGTTGTATCCTCTGTAAATATAGTATGAAATTCAACCTATGGCTGTGATACAGCTTTTAATTTTAAGTATAAATTTAATTATGATAATAAAACATTCATTCATTGGCTAGTTCTACCACAAAATAAAGTCCCCTGGAAAATGAATGAATCTACAGTGCACTAATGCTGCAATGCTCAACAGTCTATGACTTTCTTCTTCCTTTCTTCGATCCTCTTCATCGATGTGCCTTCAACTCAGCTGGGAATCTCCCTGCCGCAATATGTTATTACTTTCTATTTGGTAGCCACCCCGCGACCCACATTGAGCATCGCCAGCCAGATAAGCGTGCATCGGGGAATACGTAATTGCCATCCCTGTACAACTTGGCAACCAACTCGAGCGTACACCCCCGCCGTTCGCTGACCTATCCGCCAGCAAACTTTTGAGATGAAAGGGCCTTGATAAAGTGACAGCAGGAGAAGTGGTATAATCTATGTTATCCACCAGGCATCTATTTTCCATGCATGTTTAAGATGGGTGAAACGATGATGGGATTGTACATCTACACGTTAACCACTAGGATTAGACTGTTCCCTGACCCCGCCATTAATGCACCACTTGCACCTGTCTTTCACAAATCCACTCTGCATGAGGGCTAGTCCATTCTCATCTCAGGGTGGTGGCACATTTAGAGAGGGAGGGGAAAAACTATCAACCCAGTAACTTTAATTGTTCATAAATTGAAATAAACAGAAGGGATACATACTGGAATGACTAAGAATTAGTATTGGTATATATATTCTAGTTGAAACATGTACATAAAGTAAAGGAACATGTATGGGAAACGTCATTGAACGTTTTTGAAAATTTTCTTCACTTCATTTGCATTTCAATCAATAGTTCATGATTATGTTTATAAACTTGCTGATTTTGAAATCTCTCCAGTCCAGTGTCACTGAAAAAAGGTAGTGGATGCTAATTGAAACATCTGACCATTTCCAAAATCATATCCAATTGCTTGAGTAACTGTTTTTTTTGCACATGTATGGGAAAGACTAGGAAAATATATTGAAGTTTTTACTCTTTTGGCATCTTGTGGCAAAAGAAGCTTAACTGCCACAAATACTGATATTGGTGCTTTATGCTTTGCAACATGACTGTCAGCATATCTCCTGTGAGGCTATTACAAGCAGTCACCAATCCTGAATCTAGCCCTGAATTCATAATAAATGGCATTCCCTAGCTTTGCCTTTCTGTCCCTGATTGTGGTATAATGTGCTACCTTTTTTCTTTTCCGTCACTTGCCATTTAGGAAGTATGCCAGTGTCCCAACAACGTTGCTGAAATGAGGACAGGCTGTAACATCGACATAAACAGTTCAGTACAGAACTGGGCCGGCCCAAATCCCTACATAGCCAATTAGAACATCGGGTCTCCCTTTACGAGTGACAAAACAACAACCTTCCATAAAAACGATGTGCTCTGTACTGCCACAAAGCGCAGAATTCTCCCCCAAGAGAAGGAAATGCCATAAAATGAACCACTTAGTCTAGCGCAGAAACATCCACATATATCTTTTAAGAATTTAACAACACAATTTACTGTCTCCTGTAAGGGACAGATGAAAAATGTGCAAGTTGTGTCTATGTGAAATGTAAGATTTGTCATTGCGCAGCATCATAATATCCTTACAAATCTGTGAATTACTGAATTAACCTACACTTTGACTTTAAGTTGTAAATTCTCATCAACATCACAGACATTAAAACTTGATAGTGTTTCATTTATGACCATAAATCCTAATCAAACAGAAAACATGTACCCATTAAACTATAAGCCAGACATTAGCAAATTAAAGTATTACTGTATTACTATTCATACCCAATCAGCTGCTGAGTATATAACCTGATGATGTGATTAGTATGAGAAACATACACACATGTGCGCACACACACAAACACAAAAAGATGCACATGCAATACCTTCAATCACAAACTAGGTAAGAGTGGTAAGAAAGGATACTGTCTTCTTTGTTCTTCTGGTCTTGTGAGCTCTCCATACCTGGCAATGCAGCTGCAACACGGCGGAATAACTACAAGCAAACAAACAAAAAAACATCGGGTTGTCAGCATATCAAAAGTTAGGGGTTGTCTAAAACCTAGACATACCCCCTTCTCTACAACAACTTGTTTATCGCAGCTTCAAATTTATTCTGTTACAATCTTACAAACAACTGACAAAATTTGCCTATGGGCAGCTATATGATTACAAAGAATACTGAACTGGTTAGATCTAGGATGGTGCTGTATTTGAGACTTACCTGTTTTACATTGTAGCCTGTTTTTGCACTAGTTTCGATGAACATGACATTCAGTTCCTTTGCCTTGCGCTCCCCATCCTCCAGCGACACCTGCCTGCACATCCACAAAAATATAAAGAAATTTCAATATTTTTATCATCCGCAAGGTTGACTTTTTGACCAGCTTCAATTGAGACAAATTTTTAGTTCCTTAAATCACTGACTCCTGTCAACAGATGTGAACAGGTCTTCTTTTTTAATCCTGCCCAAAAGTGCAACTTTTCTGGTTTTTCTGACCCCATTTTATCACTTTGGCATTTCCCCAAGTTTGGCATGCATGACAGTCCACCGTGGTACAAAAGCTTGCCACTGCGCCTGAAATGTCAGACTCTATGAAACATCTATAATTCATTTTTAGAGTAAAACACTCTGGAAGCACAGAATTCTGCCAAGAAAGTATAGTTCTCTGTGTAGGATTTAGATTCTTTGAAAGGGCTGTTAGATACAAGTTACAGCAAATGAAGGAACAAGGACAGGTACATATTGTGTTTCAAAAATCTTTCTGCGTACAGTGTAGGTGTAGGTAAGCTCACAATGCGTTGAACTGCTATCTCCTGCAAGTTTGATATCAATAACTTCCCAATCACAATACCCTGTCTGCAATTTGACTGCGCAGTACAGAAATCCACCCCAGTGACATACATGTACAACCTGCTGACTAAAATATGTACCACGGTCTTTCTTCTAGAGTTCTCGGAACAACGAAGGCTTTCCTTGGGGGGTTAACACCACCGCAACCCAGAAGCAAATTTGAAGGTTGAACGTAACTCCTCAAAAAGGAGGTTCTGACAAGTGTGGCATCAGTTTGACATTTGTGACCACCCCGTGCCAAGAAGGCTCTCGTTAAAGGCGAAATGATTTCCCAGGCCCTGACAAAGGTTCCTACGTCTCAGAAATAATTCCTTAAGAATACCTGACGGACGTCGTAAGGGTACGGCGGAATAAGGAGCTAATCCTTACAGTTCTTCTGGGGTTAAGGCAATAATAAGAAAACTTTGGGAAGTGCCAAACTGTTGAACCAGAGCATATCAATCAGGGTGAGACATACGACATGTACATGTACCGGGGATTAGACTTGATCCAGCAAACCAGCACACGTGCTGATACCATTACATATTGGGCATCTCAGAGGTGGTAACAGTAAATACAGTAGATGGGTTGGAGGATAGGAGGGGCCGCAACGGACAGCAACAGGTAAGAGAATGTGAAAGACATTGACAGCCAGCCTCAGTGCAAGTAGCGAAGATGATGGGGATGTTGAACAGTAAACACAACCAACTGCAACAAACAGAAACAGCTGCTCATCTCCAGTTTTACTTGCACAAACCTGAACAGGGCTTAAAATACTTTTTTCTGCCTACCTGCAACTGTGCAGTTAACATTGAAAATTACCTGCACCAGACAAATTTTACCTGCACTATTCAGAAACCACTGTCTTCATTTTCATACTTAATAAATGTAGGTAGTAACAGTCAATGCAGCAAATAAAAATCCACATACACCTACACTTGTAATATAAACCTACTACTTGATCTAAATAAACCAAACCAAACATGGGCCAGTACAGGTTAGGTACAGGTAGAAATCTGAAATACACCTGCACAGCTACAATTTAACCTGCAGTAACCTGCAAATACCCAGTACATGGACCAATGCACTTTTCTGTTTCCCCACCTTTTGTCTGACAGATCTGTCTTGTTCCCAACCAGCATGATGATGACATCACTTCCTCGCTCGGTTCGAACGTCGTCGATCCATTTTGATGTCTGATGGAAGGAGTTGGCATCTGCCGAGGGACAAGTCACAAACAGGTGTCACAAATAGGTGTCACAAATAGGTGTCACAAACAGGTGTGTCACAACAGGTGTCACAAACAGGTGTCACAAACAGGTGTCACAAACAAGTGTTACAAACAAACAGGAGGCGAAGGCCTACTATCTATATTGTATACTTTTACATCTTGCATATACTTTTGTGCAAATTTATAGTCCTTACCATGTTCATATACTAATGATCACAAATCATACAAATATTTCCTTGAATGTGATATTATAGACAATGACTGCTACTGTAGGTCTGTCTTACTTGTGATATCATAGACAACGACTACTACTGTAGATAGACAATGACTGCTACTGTTGATCTGTCTTACTTGTGATATCATAGACAACGACTGCTATTGTAGATCTATCTTACTTGTGATATCATAGACAACGACTGCTACTGTAGAATCGCGGATGTAGGAAGGGATGAGGCTCCTAAATCTCTCCTGCCCGGCTGTGTCCCACAGTTGAAGCCTGACCTGAAGAGGGAGAAAAAAGGTACAAGAAATGAAAATGCATCTCAAAATCATTATCTTTCTTGTTATACTATGGTTTACCAACTTGAAGGTAATGTTACAATATACAAGTGTGTCTTACCTTGGATTTAGTTTCATGTAATTTTACATGTAGTTTACTTCTAAGTAAGGCTCATCAAATGAAATATTTGAAGTGTTCTCAGTTTTTGGTATGACCTGGCCAGGGTTTGAACCCGCGACCCCCCAAAAAATGCAAAGCCAGCACTATGCTAGGCTATATTGCACCGGTCGAAATTCATGTAGCATGCTGAAAATGAATTATTCTTTTGATATCTCTGCCCCCTACTCAGTATTCCTCCATGATGTTCCGCTGACGATCACATTCATCCTGGCGACCTTTCCCTCCAAGGTCAAGCCCGCGGAGCTGCGGCAAGACGGGATACTTGACCTAGACTTACTCCCATAGCTTATGCCGGGATTTCAAAGATCTTTGGGGCGTGCCTGGGGCTGGGTTAAATAGACCTTAACCCTGTGTTATCCCGGTAGGTGATCTGTGAACGACACACGTCACACAGAGACATGGAGGGGACAACGACTTGGAGCAAAAAGTTTTTGAATTTTGAAGTATGTATGCCATTTGATAGATGTCCCCAGTATACTGTACATTAACCATTTACTTGGAGAAACTAAAACACTTGAGAATGAGCACTAGGACTTTGAGAAAAGTTTTCTCAGTGAATTTTGAAGAGTTGTATGTATGGATTAGTTTGATAGAATTATTGGAACCTTCGGGATCAAATATCCAACAGAAAAGGGCTCCTAAATTGACCTAAACTGGGAACTTTCACACCACTCACAGGCTCTCTTTAAGCACGTTTACGCCTCTAATTGCATGTTGAGCTGACAATTGACGCCCTTTTGACCCGTCTCCAGCATAAACCAACACCTTCTCTTTTTACTTTTCAATTTCCATCGTTTAATGTTCTACCATTCCGAATTTTGAAGATTTCAAAATGGAAAGCAAGAAAAACTCATTGAGAATGACCACTAGGACTCAGCATGGAGCCTAGCTTTCACATCATTGTTCTATCATAATGTTACATCAACTTCTGTCTGAAATTTTTCTTTACTTCCAGCTAGGCTACAGTTTTGATGCCAATTCCCGGTTAGTTTACCTGGCTGCTATACTCCTAGTCGGTGGCAGTCCCTGGAAACTAACTAAGATGGCACCCAGTGGTGCTGGGATGCACACCAGAATTTTGAAGAGTTGTATTTGTGGATGGATGTCTCCAGTTAACATCAAACCATTAATTCACAAAGCTAACGAGGAAAACAGATATATGAGTAAAGAACCGCATCAGTATTATGATAAAAAAAACACTAATTGGTTCCATCGATGAAGATTATATAATGTGTTATGATCAATATACACAATTATACACAATTCAAAATCTATCCAGTTGCTTTAGTAACTGCTTGCTTAGATAACTACATCTAATTGGTTTCATTCAGGATATTAGGGACTCTGACATTATCTTTAGGCCACACCAATTTAATTTGTTGGTTTTTGAATTTTTTTAGAAGAAATATGAAGCGACAGAAAAAGAAAAAAAACGTCTAGGCATCCTACTATAGCCCCAAATGCTACGATAGGAGCCATGAAGTCAACACTAAAGGCTGGGTTAATATTTAAACAATGAATTTTGAACTTTTAATCAAACCACTGCATTGATAAGATGGAAAAACTGTAACAACTAGGAAGAAAAGGACTTTTCTCAACTGTTGAGCATGCTCAAAAAATGAGCATGTTTGAGTTGATTCAGAACCAGAATCTTTATTTTTTTTGCAAATGAGAAAAAAATAAAGAGGCGAATCCGAGAACCAACAAATTAAATTGGTGCTTTCTTATATATGATTATTTCAAGGGTCTAAAATCAGCCTTCTCCTTGCGTTATGACAGAAAATTTGCATCAGTTATTGGTTTCAGCAGAAGAGAGAATCCAACAAAATCTCCAACATAAACTTAAAGCATAACATTATCATAAATGCCTCCAGTTATACATGTTTTAGTGAACTACTAATCTGTCTACAGAGTCACTTAAATGTTACCTATACATCACGTTAATCCTTCAGTTGATGAGGAAGACAGATACAAGTAATAAAGCAAAATAAAGGATTGCTCTACTGAGCAATTCCTACATAAAACTCAATCTAATCAACACATTCTTTACACCCTGTATTGACAAGGGTTCCCAACTCTACTATAAACAATGTGCATTCACTCATAAAACATCCATGTACATTTCAAGGTATTAATGGCGCTAATGTTCTGGATTGGAAAAGAAGACAAGAAGGAACATAATTGGAATTTCAAGACATTTTCCCATGTCTTTTTTTATTTTTACACCAAAGCACACTCATGGTTCACTGTTATTTTGAAATATAATGACAGTTTGCTTATACTTTCATAAATTCACACATTAACAGTAAAAATGGCCTGAACCCTCCACCCAATCTAGTTGCAGCTTTTTATGGCTTTATGGTTTTATAAGCTACAAATCTTGACGTTGCTACTTTCTTGCCTCTTAAGTGGCCTTAACTAACACGGGGATCACAACTTTTACTGCAAACGAAGTAATTTCTGCCAAAATCATGATGTAAATTCCCCACACAAAATGAAATAGCTATTCTTAGTGTGGCATGATTACGTAGTATGAGTTTTGAGACCACTAAGGTCAGGGGATGGAGTATTAGGCTCACATTTACTCGGCAGGCTTTTATGTTTGATCAGTGCAGGGGGCTGATTTATAATCACGGTACTGTCGGCGAATCACCTACTAGATCACAAGCTACTGTGGCGGCCATCCCAACACAGTCACTCGTTTGTGGACCTTTGGGAGTAAAGGCTTTCATCACCAATTTTTCTGAATTTAAAGCAAGAGTTAGGACAGGAAGTGGAAGATTGTAGATACTAGATAAAATAATTTGATGTGTATGGAAAGTAGTAACCTTGTATTGTTGAAACCTGGATTGAATGTTTCCAATTTCAATTAAATGTTTGTTCTTTTCTTTAAAATTAATCCAACACACACGCACCCGCCCACCCACACACACACACACACACACAATGGGATTTACAGGGAATGAATATATTTAATTCTTTACTACTTTGATTTCTAATTATGGATTCTAGACATCAATATTGTTTAATCTAATATGTTTACTCATGTGTCAACTTAGATTAGTTTGAGGGATGTCAATATACATGTATAAGCCTAGAGCTTTCTAGGCTTTCTTTGCACAATTTTGTTTTTTATTACCTATTATGCCTAAACAAACAAAATGTAAACAGTAGAACATGCACTTGACACTGAGTTTTGATTTTCAGTGTTTAAAAAAAATCACATTAAAGCACGTAAATCATCTTCTAGCTGTTTCTAGAGCTCTCAAGGCTTTCTGTGCACTATTTCATTTGTTTTTTTTACCACCTACATTGTATTATGCACATGCAAACAAAAGGTAAACAGTAGAACATGCACTTGACACTGAGTTTTGATTTTCAGTGTTTAAAAAAATCACATTCAAGCACGTAAACTGCACATTCATCTTGTAGCTGTTTCTAGAGCTCTCAAGGCTTTCTTTGCACTATTTCTTTCATTTGTTTTTTTACCACCTACATTGTATTATGCACATGCAAACAAAAGGTAAACAGTAGAACATGCACTTGACACTGAGTTTTGATTTTCCGTTTTTAAAAAAAATCACATTCAAGCACGTAAACTACACATTCATCTAGCTGTTTCTAGAGCTCTCAAGGCTTTCTTTGCACTATTTCATTTTTTTACCAGCTACATTGTATTACGCACATGCAAACCAAAGGTAAACAGTAGAACATGCACTTGACACTGAGTTTTGATTTTCCGTGTTAAAAAAAAGTCACATTCAAGCACGTAAACTACACATTCATCTAGCTGTTTCTAGAGCTCTCAAGGCTTTCTTTGCACTATTTCATTTGTTTTTTTTACCACCTACATTGTATTACGCACATGCAAAGAAAAGGTAAACAGTAAAACATGCACTTGACACTGAGTTTTGATTTTCCGTGTTAAAAAAAAATCACATTCAAGCACGTAAACTGCACATTCATCTTGTAGCTCCCCTGACTGATGGGACCATTCCAGTCCATCCATCAGTGCCAGTTTGAAGAGTAATTGACTTGATGGCCAGAAAACGATGCTGTCCTTTAAGGCCACACCAATTTAATTTGTTGGTTCTCGGATTCGCCTCTTCGTTTTTTTCTGATTTGCACAAAAAAAAAATTGATTCTGGTCCTGAATCAACTGCAAAAATGCTCATATTTTGCCCCCAACAGTTGAGGAAAGTCCTTTTCTTCCTAGTTGTTACAGTTTTCCCATTCTATCATTGCAGTGGTTTGATTAAAAGTTCAAAATTCAATGTTTAAATTTTAACCCAGCCTTTTGTGTTGACTTCATGGCTCATTCCGTAGCATTTAAGCCTATAATAGGATGCCTAGACCTGTTTTTATTTTTATTTTTTTTCGCCCTGTTGCTTCATATTTTTTCTGAAAAAATCCGAGAACCAACAAATTAAATTGGTGTGGCCTAATGGCGGAATGTTGTTACACCGGAATGTCGTGTCTAGGTTACCCCGTAATTACACCGACACAGTCTGTTCTGCAACAGTCTGCATTGTTTCCTCGGTCCGCCGTCGCCTGACAAATGAGCAATCTTAACGTCCCTCCGACCAAAATGTGTCAACCGCCCAATCAAAGTGCGTGGTACTTACCGTTCGATCTTCCAAATACATCGTCTTTGAAAGAAAATCTATTCCGATGGTTGCCTGTGGAGGAAAAGGAGAGGGCTGTCAGTGGAGGGGTGTCTGAGGAATCGATGGCGATGATAGCAGCCATCGAAAATCATTCTGATGTTTTAATTACTGCTCCTCGGCCCAGAGGTGCTGACAACAGAGTTGCCAATCCTGCTGTGACGGGGGGAGAAAGTTGCTCTGTCACAGGATCCTGACGGATTTTAGTTTCAGATCCATATACAATATGTAATGTTTGCATCGTTGTCTCTATTTCTGTGGACAGTTGCACCAGTTTCAGCTGCTGGGCTGACCTATGTACATGTAATGTCCTGTCACATTTTCAACAAATACATACAAATGGTACCTGTTACATAAGGCCTACTTTCCAATAGATGGCAGTTGCTGAGTGACTGTTGAGCGACAGAAATTTGATTAGTGTGACCCTTGATCTTATGATTGGAATATATTGCACAATGCAAAAGTATGATTTAAAAGACAACCAATTACACAAAAGGTTAGAAAAAAACTTGTCCTTTACCTATGGAATTTGTTCGGTGATTGGTCTAATATTTGAACGCTCAACAGTCAAAGCCTCCAGTGGAAAGGAGTACAATGTACATGTAAGTCTGATCATGCCACAAGATTGTACAGACACTGTTGCACTGCTAGATTTGTTTCTATGTTATGACATTCCTGCATTTGTGTCTTTGCAAGTAAAAGAAGCATGATATGTTTGTGTACCTATACAGGTAGAAACATAGGTCTTGTGAAAATATAGTCATGTAACTTAAAGTTACTGATACTGCAGTGAAAAGAAAAGAGGAAAAGAAAGTGCACCTAGATCAATATCATTGTATATGAATGACAAATATGAAGTGTCATAACCCTGAAGAGACCATCCCCTCAAGGGTGCTTTAAAAATGCAGGACTTTCCTTCATAAGGTTTGCTGACCCGTGAAAAAAGGAGCAACAGCTTTCTTCTCACAAGAATGCCGTTCCACACTACAGGGAGGAGAATTTATCAGTTCTAAAGTTTGCCAGCTCCAGGCCATGTTATATTAGTACTCTGGCCGTGTCTCCAGACTTCCCCATATCTTCTTGGAGATCTGCAACAAAGATTGGGTTGACTCGCAGGTCTATTTTTACATATCGGGAGTTGGCGCATTTGCCGCGAGGGGCGAGAAGCAACTGGCGAAATGTAGGCGTCATCGGTGGATGATGACCGTGTGACACGGGAGCGATACGACCTGTTTTATTACCGGGTATCATTACGCCCAGAGGGAAAGTGTTGAAGTATGGACATTGCCTCAGTCATAGCCGGGGGTTGAGAATTATTCAACGCTTGTGTCGTTTATGGGAACAAATGCGGCCCATCTGCCTTGGGTTTGGAGATAATGCCAGGATGATAAGCTTGAATAAATCAAGCTGCTTGGTTCTGCAGTTCAACTATTGTACAGTTGTTTAAGTTCTGTTGGCACAAGTACAAACACAAGACAGGAAATTTGCTTTTCTTACACAAGAAATTTTCCTTTCTTACACAAGAAAATTTCTATTCTTACACAAATATTAGCTGTATGATTTTTGCTATTGCTGAAAAAAAACTGCTACCATGATATTTACACAGACTGATAGAAATAGCAATGTTTGGGAATATGTATCCATGACTAAATTCATGTCTGAATTTTCAGCTAAAGCAAAGTAACTACATGTAGCATCCAGCCTTTCCAAAGTGATCAACAATTTGTTGGTGATAAAAATACATGATGCAGAAAATAATATAATAAAGGTTTCAGGTTGTTTCCTCATACAACTGGTAAACTGCTTTTGGTGTGTACAAGTTGACCACAAATACTAGATCGTAGATGTATTCATGAGAATATTTACAGTAGGAAGAGCATAATCATAACAGACCTAAGAGCAAATGTTACAAATTACAATGTAGTCCTACATGTTGAAGAAAATAAGATATCCAGGTATATCCAGTAATAGAGTTTGAATCATCTTGAAATGTAGTCTAATGATATAGAACAGTTAAACATAAAACTTTAAGCCATTACGGGTGAACAGCAGTTATTGATATCTAAAGTCAGACTTGCTGGTGCATGTGATACTGGAGAACACAGAATCCCCAGGATACATCCAGCCGAGGACGAAGTTAATCTGCCAAACCAGATTCCTTCCCCAATCACCGCGACTGAAACACGTCTCTTGGTGACCCGGCACTGTGTATACAGCTTTGGCGCGTAATCCTGATTAAGCATTTCCAACATCAGTGTCACAGAGCTGAGCACATCAATTGGCCCGGGGACAATCATCTTACCATTTCCACACAGCTTATCAAAGGGGATTAGTAAGCTCCGAATCTACGTGTCACCTAATCGCAGCGAGGGGGGAGACACATTTAGGGATGATGGCGGTTTAAAGGCTTCACTTACAGAGTGAGATGATCAGATTCCTTCTACATGACCTTGTGTAAATTGGGATTTTCCCTCCTGTGCAGAGATAGCTGCGGACGCTGCATACAAATCATTACGGAAAGGTCATAGGGCTGGGCTGTTGAAGATGGTATCAGAAATAGACAGATGTTTACACCAAAGATAAACTACCATAGATGACCTCTGCTGAGCCGTAATAGAGGCACAAGTAAACACTACATGCATCAAGCTCACATGAAATCAGGTGTAAAGCTGAAAACGATGGGAAAATATGGCCGCTTCCTTAAGGATGTATGGCAAGAACATATCCCCCTTTCAGGTGCCGCCATAGGAATAGATTGCAGTCAAGCAGGAAAATGACACCGTAAGCTTTCACATGTGGCCCTGCCTCCAAAGAGATGGCACTGGCTTATCTCCAGGTTCTTTACATGTTAAAGGCTTGCTTTGAAGTACAATTTATGAGCCATAACTACCCACTTGGCAAAGAAGATATGTCTGCTTAAGAAGATAGCGTGGTAAAAGTGGCTGTTATGTGCTCCGAATGACCTGGTTCATTGTTGTTAACAGCAGCAGTGCTTTCAGCACCATTGAGAGGGACAGACACCTCGCCTATATACAGCACTGTCAGGCCGGGGGGATTGTGTGTTATCAGGCAGGGGATCTCCGGTGCTGGGTGTGAAATGCCCCTTAGCGACTTATTGATCCCTTAGTAAACTTCCCCCCTTGTTGAAGATGAGGTATTTGGGGCCAGAAAGGCAGCGTTGGGCAACGCGTTAAGGCTTTTTCATCTTCCAGAAACGAGGTCCTTATGACTGGGAATTGTGCATGGATTTGTCTGATGAACATGACCTTTACACAGTCTGTAGAGGTCAAAAAGTCTAGTGTAAGTCAAGGTCCAATATTTGAACCGTCACAAATATGTAAATAAGCTGACCTGTGAAAATGCATACGCATATCATTATGAGCTTACAGTAACAAGACAGTATTCTCAACATGCCTGGTTAAACGGCCAATAAGACCTGTTCAGCATTTTGCTGGCAAGCTAAAAGATCTAAGCTGAAGGCTGCATACAAATAAGTATCAGGCTCTAATTTTGATACAAAATCAAATACCTATCCATACCATTGCGTCCATGTACATGTATGCAAAGTACACATTCATCCATCAACTGTAATTATTGTAGGAGCAGCTGTAAATCAGAATTTTTAACGGTACTTTTCTATTCATGTATATATCATTTGTGTACCGCAAACTTATCATTATGACAAGTAAACATACATGTAATACTTCGCCGACTTAAATTTTCTTTTTGCTGCACCTGCTGCTAACATGTCCGTTTTTCTCAGGCCACGAACTTTTGCTGCTCCAAACATAAAGTGATTTACAGTACTTTGACCTCTACCACAAGGTCAAAGAGTAGAAAGTAAGTTACGATCTTCTCATGGAATCGTATTTCAAGTTCATAACATGTCGAGAAATGAAGCAATGTGCAATTCCAGCAGTCATTACAGTTCTAGGTGCAGAATTTATTTCATCATTAATTTTCATCGTCGACTCAGCCAAGCTATGTCTTTTTGACCTTGCGCTCGGCGATAGAATATCATTCCACGACTACGCCGTTATTTAAACCAAATTTCCCATAACAATTTAGCTGTAGCTAGATTGGGACTGACTACAAGTTGGCTATATACATATTATACATGTAAGCTCTGCTATGCAAGCCCCTGACATTAATTTGCTTGCTGTACTTTGCTTCAAAAGCAAAATAAGAAAAAAAAGGGTGTCTACACTGCAATTATAGTGCGCTTGGGGGTGAACATAAGCAAAATAAAGTTAACTTCAAGTTGAAGTCATACATGTACAATACTTCCTAAAAAACAAGTTGGAACAGTTCATCTTCACTTCGGGACAATTGAAATTTATTTTTGGGACAATGGGAAGAAAAGTTAATTTCGAGGCCTGTGGAGGTGGGATGCTTCTATCCTCTTCTCCTTGCTAACGTGACCTTGAAGTCCCCCAGGGTTTTTTTCCTGATTTACATGACAACGTTGGACTCCTGACAGCCATCAAACCGTGATGAGAACTCTAGCCGGTCCAGAACGGCTCTCTGGGGAAGCCTTAATGTTTAGCCGGGGATACGCTGTCATTTTTCCCGAGTTGGGGGAGGTGACTTTCATCCACTGACCTTGTCTCCCAGCCATACGACCTGCCAGTCTTACCAAATTATTAATTTTTGGAAAATTTTTATTGCAGGAGTAACAAAAACAAATACAACAGGCAGAAATCAAACAGTCAAAACAGAAACAATACTGAAAGAAGATAAAGTACATCCATGAACTACTTTTGGAATTGCAAATCATTAGGAGATGTAGTACATGTAGGATAGAAAAATAAGCTGCAAAGATATTAATCAAAAATTACTTCCACCTGCTTGACTCATAAAAAAAAGTTGGACATTGACACCTCTGGCTAAATTATGCATTTTTCCTTTACTTGTTGACATTAATTTTGAGAGAAAACTTGTGTGAGACGTGAGATGTAGAAAGAGTAAAAAGGACTACGGTTACTTAACCATTCACTTGTTGTAGAAATAAGTTATCCAAGGAAAAAAAATTAACCTGAAAATCTATGTGTCTCAGTCTTCTTTTTTCTTTCTACCAATAAATACAAATGAATACCATTCAAGAGAACATACATGGTGCATCAGCAGCAAAATAATACAATTTATTCCCTAATGTCAGCTTTGATTTTCTATGATTTAACTTAATGAAGGAAGTGGCAAAAGAATTAGATTGTCAAAACAATACACCCAACAAACATGACAAATCTACATGAGTCACCCCTCTGTACTGAGTCATGTGCATTATAATGACATTAAGCTGTTCTAGGAATGCTCACAGAAGGTACTGTGACCTTTTCCCTACTTTTACACCCTCTTTACTCTCCTATTCAAGCTCTCTGCATACCATAAATTATTTTTGTGCTTTTAGGTTTAAGATTTTCGTGTTGACCTCTCCAAGTACACTCATCACATTGCAAACATACTATGTCTTCCATTGTGTTTCGGCAGTTGTTTTCACTGCGCAATGAAATTCCAGTAATACGAACTTAAACCAACTTACAGTACTACGTTTGGTTATCATACATGTAGCAGCCATTTTCGCAAAGAGATGATATCGTTTTTCCTTGAGTGACGGGCCTGCTCATCAGCGGATATAGGAACTGCTGGTTCATCCCAGGCCTCATTAAAGAAGCATAACACAATTAAAGGCCTTGGATGGGGTTTTCTGATTACTTTAAATCCCCTGTCACGGGGGACAACAGGATTTAGGTCAACAAGACAGACCGGTCTAGCACTATAGCAGGGCGGGGAACCAAAAAACAAACAAGAATGATTGCATATGGTCACAAATACTGCACACATGCCAGTCTTTTCACAACGAAGGGGAGGTTGTCGCATGTTGCATCTAGGTCAGTTAGAAAGACTATGTCATGCACTTGTGGCCACATGTACTATGTAGGAGCAATAGAAATCGTGAAGGGGCCAAACGTGCTACGCATGGTCATGCAGCTTTCTCTGCAATAAAAGGTTGTCAGATACCATTATATCAGTGGGCTGGAATTGTCAGAAATTGTGGAAGGAAAAGAAATTGTAACCGGCATGCCTAAAGAGGCCTAGTCGAATGTGACTGTGCCTGTATTATACTTCACTGTATCAGTGTGTATGGATAAAAGTCACCAAGCATAAAGGTATAGCTGATATACATGAATTGT